TAAGATCCAAATATCTTCATATCCATCATTTTTAAATTAAAAGTCGTAGTTTATTGATTGATCTGATGTTAACTTGAATTCTTGAACTGTAAATGTATGATTTAGGTGTCTAAAGAACGATGTCCCTATTGAGAAAATTTACAATAAGACGCAACGTCAAAAGTTCGCTTGGGCTATTGATATGACCGAGAAAGACTTTGTTTTTTGAAAATTTAGTCTGTAGTTAGCGAAAATTTTAACTCTTTGTGAATTTACCATTTTAACATATTCTAATTGGACGATTTTAACCTATTTATGTCGTTCCTAATTTTGTTTGAACGCAGACAATTCAGGTTTTTTTTTCGACGTAAAATCAAGACCATTTGTTCAGCTGACAATCGTGTGGTAAATACCTACATCAGAACTACAGTTCTCTTTCTATCTTTGCCATTGGCTGAGTTCAATTTTATTAAATTTTTCCCAATTTAAATATGAACATGCTTTTTGTCGTCCTAAATCACCACATAGCAATGCCTGACATTGTATATTGTTTATTTGTTTTTGTCTCTCGTTGTAGTTTGGTCATAGATACATGCATGACCTAACCTAGATTACATAAAAAAATTTTTAAAACGCTTAAATTCTATGTAAGCCTTATTTTTACTATTATGATTTTCCGACAACTTTTCAAAAAGACGACATGAACAGCATTTCCAAAAGGCGGCATGAACGACATTTTGAAAAGAAGACATGAACTACATTTCAAAAAGTTGTTGCCATACAACTGTAACATGCACAAAATCTTGTTAAGGCTCACAGCACTATATGTTGGTGACGTTAAGTTTACGTCAATACACGACTTGTTTTCCTACATAGAACATGACTTGTCTAACAATGTTATAGCTGGACATGAACCTCAATTAATCCCTTTCTTCAACTTGACAATGATGGTGTCATGGTTACAAAACATAAGTCAAAGTAAATTATAAAACACATCATCTTGTAAACTCAAGATTCGATTTAAGAAAGCAAGAGACAAGATTTAAAGCAATATTTTGACTTTATTTCAAAGACATTATCAAGCTAAATCAAAGAAACTATGTAACGTGAGCCCAAGGCAATAGACTGCAATAAATATTATTCTGTTTCAAGCTCTTGACATGTTGTAATATGCTTGGCATGTTTCTCATATCGCCGAATGGTACAGTAGTTAGTGCAGTGGCTTAGCTTTTCCACGCTCAAAACCGCGTCATTTTGTGTAACTGATCACTATTTTGAATCCCAGGTGCTTTTGTTTTTCAAATTTGTCGTTAGAACTCATGTTAAACTCCCAGTAGCATATGCGTTTTTGTGTTTGTCACAAAGATATGTAATACATGCACGTAGCTGACAGTATTTTACGCACTCGTGGGCTTCACAAAACGAGGGGTAAATCAATAATAGATACACATTTATGTCTATTTCGTTGGCCAAAGTAAAGACGCGTTCTATATAAACATTTTGGAGAGTTCCTTTTCTTCAGTGGGTGCTTTTCATCGCACTTTCTAACTACAAAAGTTTGATTAAATTTTTCTAGCGTAAGAAGGTGATGATTTTAATTACGGATGAAATAAACTCACGCTTTATGCTTTAAAACTATACTGGAAATCGTTGGAGTAATGTACATCTATCATAATGAAAAAACGGAATAATGAAATAACGACCATGAACGAAACTTAAAAAGTGTTAAATCAATGTATAGTCATGTGATTCATGTATTCATGTGATAATGCAGTCAACTTTCAATCATAATGCTTATACGTTCGACATAAAAAAAATTCATAGACATAATGACAGCGATGCATTACACCATTAAACCGACAGCAAACATGTACGTTGTCATTATCTATAATATGACAATGCCATATACTGTATATAATTTATTTGTCTTCTTTCAAGTTATGAAGTAAGTTGTCTAAGAAAGCAACAGTTCTATACAGTGAGCACCAAGTAAGTCCCCGTCTTCGTCTGTAAAATTACTGTGACGAAGCATTGCCTAAACATACAAAATCCTTAGTTATAAAAGAACACAATAAATGTTATTTTGTGCATTTACTTCTTATATGTTACTCGGTTAACATGTTTCTCGGTACAGTGATCTAAATTGTCATGCGTTAAAACAAACTTTTTTTATTTTTTCTAATGTTGAAAAATGGTCGTATTGTGAGACAAAAGGTATGTTGTTATTCTTGACTAGAATGTGCGAACTGTTAAAAACCGTACGAAAGTGCGAGCCTTGCTTCATGTCCACAGTTTTCAGATGGTCATTGATGCTTTTGTCCTGTTAGACTTCCTGATTGTATTAGTTCACCTACTGATGGACATTCAAATACTTAGAGGAGGCGAGTGTTTAGAAACATGTTTTCAACTTTATTTTGTTTGACATTCATTTATTGTATACATGACTAGCTGTGTTCACGTTTTGCTGACAGGCAGATTTGGTCAAGTGTTTTTAGGCAACACTAGTAACAATGCTTTACCTATATTGGGAGAAATGTGTCTGACAGATAAACGTAAACAAAGCAAGACATCTTTGATCTTTTTTTTGCAGTTTACTATCATCACGTGTCTATTAAAATTCTCCATTATGCAAGTATTGACCATTTGGGATTTTTCTTAATTAAGGTTAGCTTTGATTAGGAATATTTGCAATCAATGAAGTCTTCGAATATCTTAACTCACCAACCTCAACAAGAAGCTCTACGCTTATGACGTGGCAATTTTTTCATCACAAACTCGAGTTGCTGCAATAAATGTACTTAACCTAGTCTATTTAGTTCAGAGACAGCTGCATTTCAGTACTTCAATGCGGTTGATAATTTTTGTCTTTTTTTAATACATAAGACTGTAATGCTATTGTTGTCTGTGTTTCATTTGCATTAGATGGGGAATACAGGTATGGAAACCATTTGAGCTACCTCATCATCACACAGATCAATCCCTTACAAGCTATGCTAATTCAATGCCATTGAGAGAGCTTTGCCTTCATGAAAAACTAGATTATTTACAGCTCAACCAAAAAAATATAAACATGGTTATAGAGCTTCCAGCTTATATTATCTTTCACTTCTGATTAGTTAACACTTAAAAGAATCCCGATAGTGATAGGCCATAGAATATGTTTTAACTCCTCTAGCAACTAGTATGCACCCATTTTATTACTAACTGTAAAGTAGAACAAGGCCCCTAGATGTTTCTGCAGCTTCCCTAACACTTCCAGCTAGTAGTGTGCTATGACGTGTAATTGGCTTCCAATATGTACCTGCTTAATAAACTCTTTTCTTTTCAGCGGCAATACTGATGTAAAGGAAGCTGTTGGTACTTTCATCCTTTTGCAGCTTTGGAGAATAGTTAGGATTATAAACGGTCAGTATGCTTATTGAATATCTTTAAGAAGCTGCATTTGTTTATTCTGTTTTGGTTTACAGAGAATTTTTTTATTTCCTAATTTATTTGGTTGTTTATGGGATTGCTCTGTCTGTGAAAATTGAAATGGACCACAAAATATATAACTTAAAAAAAAAGAAATAGATCACTTGCAAATGCAAGTGGACAGCTACAAGGTGAAATAAGAAGAACAAGAGGTACCAAACAATACATTTCTTTATAATTACTTGGATGATTGTCTTCTAAAATATTTCCTTTTGATATATTATACTTAAAAAGTGGTTAGAAACATGACTTGAAAATCTTGTTTTTATGTATTTTATTCATTGGAAATACAACTATACACATAATATAAATTTGTTAAAGATGAATACTTTTGTAGAAGAATATTTTTGTTGTCAGCCACACTCAAGTAGAAATGTATAAAAACTACATTTTAGTACAATAATGACCTTCAAAGAGGTTTTTGCCTTAAACTTTCTACTCTCTGAATACTTTTTATATCACAAATTTGCGTTTGTATCATTAATATTGGGAATTCGTTTATAAAAGTTTCGATTCGAAAGGATTTTACTGAATAAACTCGTTTGTTCATTATTAATATTTAGATTACATAAGACAATCAAATAGTGAGAAAATCATTGAAGTTTATCATTGTTTGTTACAGTTTTTGCTGTTTACAGTAAATGTTGTAAGGTTAACAAAAGAATTAAACAATTGAACAATATTAAAAAACCCCAAATAAATTAACAATATATGTTTACAAATCTAACTATACTTTTACTCTAAACAATGAATTAATATAAAGCTAAGTAGACATACTTCAAAATTGTTTTTATATTAAGGAACGTTTATATGAAAGGAAAGTCCCATGATGTATAATTTTTCATTTACTTTTTTCACAAAACATATGAAAGTTTAAATAATAAACTTTAAATCAGGAAGTGGAATGCTTATAGATATGCATTAAGAGTCAGAGCTCGAATCCGAGTCAAAGTACTGCTCAGTAAGATACAATTCACTAATTAAGATACAATTCAGTAAGTTTACTATTTTCACTTTTCAATGCTTCACTAAGATATTTAGCACCTTCATCACCTATAATGTTACCCGTCATATACAATTTAGTAAGTTTACAATTCTCACTTTTCAATGCTTCACTAAGACATTTAGCACCTTCATCACCTATACTGTTATCACAAAGATACAATTCAGTAAGTTTACAATTCTCACTTTTCAATGCTTCACTAAGATAATTAGCACCTTCATCACTTATATTTTTACCCGTTATATACAATTTAGTCAGTTTACAACTCTCACTTTTCAATGCTTCACAAAGATATTTAGCAACTTTATCACCTATATTGTCACCCGTAATAAACAATTCAGTAAGTTTACAATTCTCACTTTTCAATGCTTCACTAAGATAATTGGCACCTTTCTCACCTAGTTTGTTACTTTTTATATACAATTCAGTAAGTTTACAATTCTCCCTTTTCAATGCTTCACTAAGATAATTAGCACCTTCATCACCTATATTTTTACCATTAAGATACAATTCAGTAAGTTTACAATTCTCGCTTTCCAATGCTTCACTAAGATAATTGGCACCTTTTTCACTTAGTTTGTTACTATTTATTTGCAATTCAGTTAGTTTACAATTCTTACTTTTTAAAGCTTCACTAAGATATTTAGCACCTTTATCACCTATATTTTCACCATTAAGATACAATTTAGTCAGTTTACAACTCTCAATTTTCAATGCTTCACAAAGGTATTTAGCACCTTCATCACCTAGTTTGTTACCCGTTATAAGCAATTCAGTAAGCTTACAATTCTCACTTTTTAATGCTTCACTAAGATAATTAGCACCTTCATCACCTATATTACTGCCTCCCATTTCCAACCTTGTAAGTATACAATTCTTACTTTTCAAAGCTTCACTAAGATGATTGGCACCTTCATCACAAATTTTACTGAATCCCATTTCCAACCTGGTAAGTACAGAATTCTTACTTTTTAATGCTTCACTAAGACATTTAGCACCTTCATCACCTATACTGTTATCATAAAGATACAATTCAGTAAGTTTACAATTCTCACTTTTCAATGCTTCACTAAGATATTTAGCACATTCATTACCTATTTTGTTATAATCAAGATTCAATTCAGTAAGTTTACAATTCTTACTTTTTAAAGCTTCACAAAGATATTTAGCGCCTTCATCACCTATATTGCTGCTCCTAATTACAAACTTAGTAAGTTCACAATTCTTACTTTTCAAAGCTTCACTTAGATGCTTCCAAAAATAATTGCCTAAAGCACTTATAAAAAAGGTTAAACTTATCAAATTTTTTGCTTTCTCATTTAACAAATAGTTTTTTATTGGTAGACAGCTATAATTATCAAGAAACTTGCAATCGTTAAAAGAAAGCCCTTTTATGTGCTCACATTCAGAAAGAAATTCAAACAATGCGTTTGAATCAACAGGCGTAAAAGAAACTCCATCAATCTGCGTTTTTTGAGAAAAATTCTCTAACTCCGTGCAAGCTGACCTCATGACATCTTTGTCCTGCAACTCCTATAGGCATTTTACTCCAAGAAAACCAAGGACTTTATCTCCAGTGAGGGAAAATATGTTTGAAATCCAATTTTTAAATCTACAAATTTATAACACAAATATTATTTTCAAGCAGGTTTTTTGTTCAAGTAAAAGTCGTAGGCTATGTAGCTAATGTTGCATGACATGAATTTGATTTTCTAATGCAACAATTCAAGGCCCGTTTAAAACATCGCAATTTACATCTGCTAAATGCATTCGAAATACAAATCATGAAAAAAATCTTCATTTTCTTTTGTTTGAAATTAACAGGCCTAAAAATCTGAAGCAATCACTTAGTAAACAAGTAAAGGATTAAGGTAGCCAGGAAAATTTAAAAAAACAAATTTGTTCAACATATGGCGTGTTACAATGCATCTTTATTTTTTAAAAATAAAGTGTTTTCTATAAAAATCATCGACACCGGTCACTTAAATTTTTTCTTAAATTCAAAGAGGCTCTTTGCATCAATGATATTAATCCTGATCTAAATGTTCAAATTTTTCACTGGCTATAAAACTCTCTTTTTATCATATTTAATGTAAATAATTTAATAAATGTAATTAAATAACGATCCCATTCTTAATACCAACAAATCTGCAATAACGATAACATTTTCATTCTTCGAAACGTGTTTGCTTTGAAAAAATAATTTTCTTATTAAATGTTATAAAACATTTAATATTTCTGCTACTTAGAAATTAATGCCTGAAGGTTATGAGCAATGAAAATGTAGTATAAAAAAATATCATAGTGTTTTTTTGTAAAAATTGCTTTGATAATGCCTTTTGTAAATATGATAGGAGGATTTCATACATAAGCTAAGTAAATTAAAAAACACCGAATATTCAAGATAGATGTTCAGTTCTCAAGGTAACGTTTATAAATTCCAAATTACTTTTTAACGTAAAAGTCAAATTACTTTTTCAACAGAGCATATGTTACATGATAGCAAGTACTATTATGTATTATCATTTATAAACTATGATTATATCATATTATAATTTCTTATTTTTATATTTTAATTTTAATATGCATTTTGCAATGTCTATTTCTAATTAGGACACAATCTAGAAAGCTTACTTGCGTAAAATATATTTTGAACCATCTTGCTTTTTGTTTATTAGTGGTTAACTATATCTTGCTGTAACATACTGTATTGCACATTATGGAAATGTCGGTCTTGAGAATACATTGTTTCAATTAGAACATTCATGGGACATAAACATTGAGGTACACTGACATCCTAGGAGACACTGAGACATGGAACTTCCTGGTGGTGCGAGCTAATCTGTCGTTTATCACGGCTCATAAACTTTATAAGGCTATGCTGGCGTTGGACTATTGGTAGTTTTGGAGGAACCGAACTCCCTCAGAATAAAGATTCGCGGATTTGTACTCAGTCAGAAGAGATAAGTTTTACTCAAACTTGTCAATATTATTGTTAAGACCTTATCTAATTTAATAATTACGCGTTGGTAAAATAAGTTGTTTGAGGAATATAACTTCATTCACACTATCTTTGTGTGTAAGGAAATGAACCAAAATTAATTATTCTTTCAGGACCACACACGTAACAGCATACAAACGATATGTTATGATCTTTACATTCAGAATCATTATTTATTTTACAAATATTGAGGAAAATATTTAGCAGACGTTGACACCTGACGAGTAGTCTGCCGAAATGCATCGTATCATATGAACATGACTTCTTTTAGAAATATTGCGTTAGTGCTCTTTACTTAAAACCAGTTCTTTTAAAATATTAACTTATTAATTTTACCATTCACAATAGTATTTTGCTTTCTTTAAAACGATTTTCAAATTTTCACCCCGATAAAGTCTCTATTTTACTATTAAGCTAATATGTACAATTATTTAACCTATTTTCTATAATCATTCACTAAATTTTGTACAATTTAAAATTGGTGTGTACCGCATGATAAGTTGGTAACCAGAGTACACACAGCGGGAAAGTAGAATGGAGCGGCAATGAACAGTCTAGATAGCCTTTAAAAGAAATTGAATGGGCTCTAGGTAAAATCTCATATGAGCAAGGCCAAATGTAGAAACCTAGTAATTTAATAATACTCTTCTCAATTTAGTTAAAAGTAAGTCAAACCTTTTAAATTTTATCATCCGAATCATTAGGCCTCTAACAAATTTCAATAAGGTTGAAAACCATATTTTTTTTTATGATTTCCCTTAACTTAGAAAACCAGAAAACCAGAAGGCTAAGAAAACCAGACTTCATTCACTTCACCTGAAATTATTCATGCTGATGTATCATATTTTCGGGTATCTTTTGAGAGATTTTCAGAAAGAGTTCTATCGACTATCTTGTCCTGCTGGAGAACAAGCAATTTTGGGCAGCTGCAGAGAATAAGTAATTTTTTGGCTTTACTCTTCAACAAGGACACTAATATATAGTGCTGGATAAACAACTCTTAGTGCATTATTATCTCGCTTTACACTGCTAAACAATCAAACATTTTGTAGTAAGTTCAGAACTTTGCTTCTCAGTCCAGGAAACATTGTCCGGTGGCTCTCATCAAAGAGTACTTCAAACAAACAGTACACTTACGAGGCTCTCAAAATAGAATTTTTGTTAGTTACTAGAAACCCAGGATAACGTTTGTACATATACTGTCTCCCGATAATAACTCATAGATGCATCTATATATGCTGCTCACAACATAACAGCCACAAAATTTAGTCCAGTCATTTTAAGGTTTAATCCTGCTTAAATATAACAGAAGGTGTTTCAATGTTATTTACCTCCGAAGATAATCTGAAGCAGCATATTAAAAGTCCTAATAAATCCCATTTTTGGAAAAGCTCCAAAGTTGTCTTTTTTGTACGTAGAAAATTTAAGCAACATTGGTATCAGAAATGTCTTTTTATTGCAAATATTGCCCCATTTCACAATTCAATTCTGGGCATTTTTATTGATAAAAAGGCTTTCCGTTAAAAAAAACTGAGGAGGATGCGCGTATTATATCTCTATACATTAATTGAACTTTTGATATTTGAAATCTTTATATATTTTTATCTTAAATTGTTATTAATGAATTAAAATTCTATTGTAAAAATATAAAATACAAACGTAATAAGCAACATTTTAAAGTTCAAAGCTCATCGTCGCTGTCGCTTGTTTGGTGAGATGCATCATCAGACAAATTGGCCCAGCTTGAGCATTTACAGTGTCCACAAACAACTGAACATTGTATTCCATGCTTTCGGACCGGGCATTTGAGTGCATCACATCCACTTTTACAGCTACAGCGTATGATCTTAAAAGCTGTTTGCTGCTGCTGGAAGATTAGTCATTAGAGGAGTCAGTGTAGTTTTCTCGTAACTTCCAACCCCATTCTTCAGCATCAATTTTGTTTTCTCACCTAAGCTGAACTTGACAAAACACGCGGTAGCTGTGATATTTTATAGCTGCAGACGTCAGAGAAAGGTTTTTTCGGCTTGATTTTTCTTCTCTTATGAGCTGCATTTTCTTGGTAACGTATGTATTGCAGGTTGTCTATACTACGTTTCCATTGTACAGTATGACAAATGCATGAAAATGTCAAAGCAATCAAATTCAACGTAGAAGATAAAAAAATATAGGTCAGTGTCATCTCCAACAAGTATGGTAGATTTTGACTTAGCAGACTCAATTGTTGTTTTATCAATTAGTAAATCAGGGTCGCCATTTGCATGATGTGTCTTGCAACCTTGTTCTCTTAGATAGCAACTTCAAGAAATATCTGCTTGTTCTTTTGGTTTGATAGGAAGAGATCTATTTTGAGCCTAATTCTTCAGTTAAAGATATCATTGGAGCTGTTTAAAACCTATTGATACTTTAAAGATACCCCCGGCTTAAAACATATTGCCAGTCTTTTTTACTACCTGGTCTTTCGACTTGGGTTTCATGAGAAAGTCTTGACCAAATAACATCAGCCAAAACAGGCTTGTTACATTGCAATAACATCAAAGAAGAGTAAAAAAAGGGAAGAAAGATACGTACATAGTTCGTAGCGGAAGAGTGATAGGAGATCAACTTCTACCTGAGTATCACATATATTTACAGCAGATTTTGTTGCCAAAGTTCGTCATGTTTTTTTCTCTTGAACTGGTACTCGAAAAGCGACCCATCCTTCATTAAAGAAAGAATCTTTTCTCACACAGTCTTTGCCTTTGTCCATTGACTCCAATTATGATATTTAATTCTTAATTGTGGGTCTTTAGAAAATGGTTTGTGCTGTTGAAGGCAGCAAAGATTTTCAGAGTATGCTTTTTCTCTCTCTCTTTTCTTGCATGACAAACATCTTTATCCTGTTCAGCAGAACTATAGTTTACAACTGTGTACTCTTGTCTTAACCGACTGACTTCAGCATTGGCAGGCCTTGCCAGAAGCCATGTAAGCCGTTAATGCTCGGTCATACTTCTCCTCCTAGTTAAAACACTGTTGGTCGTTAAGTTACGCATCAACACTTGTTCGATGATAAGGTATGTCGGGAAACATGCCCAGTATCTATTACTTAGTCTGACAACATGGAGCTCTGTATTAAAGCTTCCGTACACTTCTGGTTTATCTTGCTCTATATAACTTTATTGATTAAAGATCTAAACTTGCACATTTAACGTACAGATTGTGCCAGGCTGCAGCAAGAAAGGGTAGCTTTTTTTGTAATAACGTGTAATTGCAAATGCCACTTGCCTAATCACTCTGCAGTGATAGTTTGTGTATAGTTTAGTTCTGATTACGTGTTGTGCAATCTCTATCCACAGTGACTCGATTCCACTTCTTCCCATGAAATCATTTTGTCTAGTATTAGCTCAAAAAGAGAATATGCTTCTGATAAAATTTTGTAGCCAGTTCTTAAATTATAATTTAATGAAGATAAAACATGGCATCTGACTTTTAATGTTTATTACCAGCCGAAAATTTCTGTTTCACATTGATTTTCATGCTCTGAGCAGGAATTTTCTGAATCAAATCTTGCATTAATCAATTTACTTTTAATGCTCATTGCGTTGTTACTAAGAAGGCAACAAACCTATTCAAAAAAATTTTGCATGCAAACCAGTATTGCTTGATTTAAAACTGAATTTGCATCTATACCTGTTGTCTCTTCATATGGTATGTTGCTCAATATTTGAATATTTGAAACATTTTGTTTCACGTACATAGGGGAAACTAGCGATGTTTATGTCTGGAAAATCAACATTTGACAGGCACTCCCAAAATTATACGTTTCAACAAAAAATTTTGTCAAAGCAGGAAAAACGTAGAATGAAGAAAGCATTTAAATATTTTTAATGATGTATTGTACATGTAATGTTTTGATGTCTTGTGCGTCATAGTGCATTTTGCAACAGAATTAACTCAGACACTTGTGTGACAAAACACATCGTTTCTTATCCAATATTTTAACCTCAAAAACAACTTAATTTATATATTTCACATATATCATAAATTCAAACAAACTACATCAAAATACATTATCGTTTCTTTCAATTTGATTTGTTTCAATAAATGTCGTAAGTCTTTTCGCCGTTTCTTTGAGCATGCTTGTATTTAATTTTTTCACATCAGCACAGAAAGTCCCAAGTTTTAGCATGTTCCGAAAATTTGATTTCTTGGGACTTTTTATAGATGGGCAGATATAGGATTTTAAATACAGTTGGCAAATTTTATGACGTCAGACATATGACGTAATAAAACAGCCGTCATATCATATGAAAATGATAAAGTAAGGCACATTGTTTATGCAGGTCTACACTGTCCTGCTGACCTTAGTGGCTTATCTGAATATATGTAAAGACATACTAGATTAATAAACACTAGAGCTAACGTGATATCCAACACTCCCATTAACAAATAAATTATACAGTAAGCCGATAACGATAGCCCATAACGTAAATGCTTTTTCAAAACGAAAAGGCGTTTTGTAAAAATGAAATGTGGTTTTTTACACTATTCCATGAAATTATAACACTTACCAGTACCACATAAACATTGCTCTCCAATTATCATTATGTAATGTTAAATTATGTAGTATTGAATAAAATAGAAAACTATGTAGAGCTATATATAATTTTTGATTAGATTTAGTGCAATGCATCAAATTATGAAAATTTATTTTCATTGGTGTTCATGTTTTTAAATTATTTTTTAAGATGCTCTTCTCTTTTCTATTTGATAACTGAGGTTGGTACATACTTTAGGTTTCAATGAAAGTTACACATTTTACTAATAAAACAGCAAGAGGAGTATTTCTCGACCACTTTTTTGATATCAGCTGTCCAGCATTCAATGTCATTATATATAAGATTGAATGCTCGAATAAAATAGGTTAATGAAATGTCATCTGTCAAACAATCTTTGATTGTCGCTTGGAACACCAATTTATGAAAATTGCAGTAGAAAAATAATAAATAATATTTTTTTAAATGAGTTCTCTTTGATTTAATAAAAAATTTCACGTAACCACATAAAGCGTGCATAGATTTTTTATTAATACATATAAATATTTTACCTTTCTTCAACAACGTTAATATCCTCTACTTCTCCTCTTTTCTTCATATCTCCAACTAAACCAGCAATGAATTCAATCACCAAATGCCATTTAGGATCTGCAACGTGATCATCCAAAAATTGTCCAAGGTTTTGCCAATCATCAACAATACACCACGCAGCTAAAATTTCCCGAAGAGTTAAATGAAGAAAACAATAAAAAGCGTCGCTTATGTGGTATCTGATGAAAAACACCACAATTTGCCAAATCTTGAAATTCTGTATTATTCTCTTCTTCAAAATCAAATTTACTTCCTCAAGTCCTCTCTTTGCTTTTTCTTTTATTCTTTTTATATCCGTATCAAGTGAGGATGGTAAAGAGATAGTCAAATGATTTTTTGGCGTTTCTTTTTTCTTGGGAGAAGGATGGTGTCTCCATAGTAAGATTTTAATTGCTCTGTTGTACAATTCAGTTATTGTCTTTGGAATATCGTCAGAATTATTTATAAAGCTTTCCTTTAGGGTCAAGCAGACAATATAAGTGTTGACAGGAATGTAGCAGAGGCTACGAAGTTCATTAGAATTATTAATGTGATTCAAAACCAGCTTATAGGTATTCTTGTCATTACCACAAAACTTTTCGATGTAATATTTGATCTGCTCTTCAAAAAAACCTAAGATCTCCACTGTTCGGTCAAATTTTAGTTTATCAAATGCATGTTCAGCTGTGGGTCGTGATGTTATAAAAACAGTGACACCAGGCAACAGTTTACGTCTTACCAACAAACTTAATAGTCTAAATGCTGGCATTTTCGCATCATGGAGGATTGAACCATCAATTTTCTGGCATTCTTTATTAAACGATAGTTCATCAAGACCATCAAAGACAAGAACAATTTTTCAGGATTATTGATTATAAATTCATAAATTTTAGAAAATTAAGATTTAAAACTCCATCACAATCACTTAACATATCTTTGAGATCAATGTTGCCATTTTTAATAGCACGACATCGAATTAAAAGAACTAGTTTATCAAAAAAATTCATTTGAATTTTTCATCCATTCAAGTAAAATTTATTTTGTTAACATAGTTTTACCAATTCCTGGCCTTCCAATAACTAAAATGGTGCGGGGATACGATTGGTCTTGTTCCTCCTGGATTGGTTGAAAATTTCTGTTGCTCTTGTTAATTTTTTGTATCTTTTCTTATTGTAAATAGCAATCAAAGATTTCGTGCCTTTTAAATTTTTTTGGATAAGCATTCTCGAATTGTCTTTCTGCTTGTATTATGACGTTGATGTAAATATTGTCAAGATTTCGCCACTCTTTGGTCTTATCGCCAAAGTCGTCATGTATTCCACATACTTCATTCGTGTTGAAATTGTTTTTAACTTCTTCCAAAAATTCTCTAAATTCTTCTTCTTTCTCTTTCAACGGTTTTGTACAGTCATCTTTTTGGAGCGGTACAAAATTCAAGTAAACTGTAGAAAATTTATCCTCTTTTTTAAAAGAGTTATTGGTCAAGCCATATACGTCAAGTAACACAGCTCCAAAATTTTTAGTACTATTACAATAAAATCGACGGATAAAACAGCTTTAATTAAGACTTCACTTTTATCACTGTTGGGATTTTCACAATCAATGGTTGAAATGGTGTGATTTAACATGGAAATTTCTTTCATAGTTGGACGTCTTTTACAGGTGTAGTTAATGGGAAATTTGGCAGAGAAAATAATCCGACAAAGACAGACAATATGATGAAGCGAACCACCAACTGAACGATGTACATGTAAAATGAAAAAAATTAAATGCAACGTTATTAGATTGATGAATTTCTTTGCTATATTCAGCATGTAGAGGTTCACTTTGTTCATCACTGTTTTCTATTGGTCTGTTATTATCATTATGTTCAATTCGACGCTTTACATAATATCCACAGGCAATACTCCAAATTAAGATAATGCCAAAATTCAAACACACCACAAGAAAAATAGCATACTTGAAAGTTAGTCCATCTTTGTATTGTATGAAACATCTTGATTCAATATTTTTTAAGAGAGATTTCTTTGGTCTTTGATATAATCTCATTATAACAATCAAATGAAGTATCGCCATATAAATTTAATGAAATACCAGAAACGATAAAGCCAAATAAACCAAGAACAATAAGTATTATTCTTCCAAACCAGTTAAAACTGCTCCATGGTATGTGTTCAAGACACTTTTCCATTTGTATGCCTAAAATTGTATTAAATCGTCACATTATTTTGAATTAAAACAATACGCTGGCATTGGCGTTCAGTTTCGTAGCCAGCTTGCAAATTTACTTCCGCTATAAAATTCTGAAAGATTACCATTATTCGTTAATCGATTACCATCTACTGTTCTCACGGTCAGTGAACACAAAATCTTTGCATAGTGGAAGAAAAAGTTGGACTGGCTACGCTACTGCTGGCGTTACCTACAGCTCTATGTACAAAGTGGCATTCAAAATTCCAGTATTGTATATACCTCATGCAATAATCTTCTTTGTCTAAATGACTAACTTGCATTAACATATACAGGAATTTTAAGTAGACACATCTGATAGTCATAGCAATAAGTGGTGTTTTGTAATTAAATAAACAATTATGTTCTTTCGCTGGCGCGTATAACCACCTAGAGCACTGGAGGAGGATATTCATGTACGTGTGCCCTACAATAATAAATTCTTTTACAAAGGTAGCTAACACTCTGCGTTGGCATCATAATCAATCTTACGTAACTCTGCCTCAGGCTATTGGTATTGGGTTAAATATGAAAGAATTTGTTATTTTTTTATGTAATAACATGGTTTCAAGTGTAATTAGGCATAAAAATGCGCAAGTGAGTTTTTCAAAGACTGCCATGCTCTTAACCAATCAGAATTGAGAATTTTTTTCATGTATATTATTGCTGGAGGAAAAGGCATTAGCATTTTGCTCTTACTTTATACATCCTATATGATTCTATTTACATTTGAAACAAATGAATGAAGAAGAATCCGTCACAAAAGCTCTATATGATGTACTTTCATGTAAATTAATATTATGCATTTGACTTCAGTTTAGCTCAGCTTAGCTCCAATTAACATCTCTCAAAATAATGAAGCTCATTCAATAAATGGTTTTTTGTAATATTTTAGACCAGACTTAAATCACATCAAATATGTTAATTATATCAAAAGGGTAGGAAAAATGGACGGTATTTTGTTCAACTCGGTTATTTAATCAACAGGTCATGTATTAAATTTTCTCAACAGCTCACATAACGCAACACAGCAACAAATGATGAACTAATTGTACAAACGGAACCTTGAATGTTCTCTAACCTTAGTTGTAGACCATTTGCTCTATACTTATACGCTTTTTTTAAGCCGGTTTTCCATTTGCAAATTTTTGCGTCTAAAGCGATAATTTTCGAGTTAAAAAAATTTTCGTGCGACTAGGTTTATTTGTTTTCTACGAGTAAAAATTAACTCACAAAATGCAAAAAATCAATGCAAAATGGCTGAATCAAACAGTACAAAACAGTAACTAGATTACTACTTCCGAATAACGTATTATAATTCTCATTGCTGCAAAGACGACCAGAACGACAAAGCAAACAAAACAATGGCTGTTTTAACGACCACCATTTTAAAAACTGAGTACGGCAGACAAACGTGCATGCAAAAATCAAAAACCACTAAAAAATCTGATTGGCCAGCATATTATTTTGGCTGCGAAAAATTGAAAATCATAAGAACTCAAATTTTGTCTAGGCGTGATGACGGCTTAGCCGTTTACGTTAGAGAAACCAGATCTAAATGGTTTTACATAACTTATTAATAGTTGAGTGTGCAGATTTATTCAAATGTGTCACTACGCACAATTTTCTGTCATGGGTATACTCTTCAAGTTCTATAGTGTATAATGATGTCAGGTCAGGTTTGCTTTACCTTGTTGCCAATGGTTATTCGGACTTTTCTTTCCATTTGTTATATATTATTCATATTAATCCAACGTTGTGCTGATAATAATCAAAGTAACACTACTAATGTAAGTGTGTGGTCTTTTAATTTACTGAAGCTTTCTGATATGTTTATAATTCATTTATTACGGTTCTTACGTCCTAAATTTCTCGATAACGAGGTAGTGCTGGTCTTAGTTCAATTACTCCCTTCAGAAACCGTGAGACCAGCGGGTGTTCTCCAAACTTAAGCCATGTACTTGTTGAAGTATTGACGATATAGCCGACCTTGCTTTGCTCAGTGCTCTATATATTCAAGTCCTTGATGAAACAATACAGTCTGGAATTCAATTGCCTTGTTCACACCTGGATTGAGCATAGAGATTTTATGCCTTTTAAAGTAGTTTCTCCTTCTAATAAGATATGTATTATATTGATTAGATGTTCTTTTCTTCCATAATGACATTAGTAAAAATCAGTGTTTTTTCGGAAACGTTATATTACACTAATTTTTGCCTGATAAGTGACATACCATCAAATCTAGACTTTCGTGGAATGGTGTAATTCTTCAAGTTTTTTTGGGAGTTGTAGTCGAGACTTGCTTGATCTTAGTACTACAGGTTTTGATATCGACATTCAAAATATAGAGATGCTCAAAATGATACGAAAACACACAACTTCAGAATAGACTCCAGCAAAGAGACTTCTGTTAATAAATTGGTTTCCTCCTTTTTTTCAGCATTGGTCAAGAGATAAACGCCCATGTACTCTTATCGCTCAGTTAGCATATAAAATACAAAGCTCTCTTTAAAAAATTAGAGGTTTCATTTCTCAGTCACAATTCAAGAAAATTTATTCCCCAGAACATAACGAACTTTAGTAGGTGTTAGGCGTTTGACTATGCCATTCCAGAAACAGTTGGAAAACACTGGAAATCAGCTTAGCTTAAACGATATTCGGAGACTAAAATTCAAGATCCACTAGTTGCATCACTTGTGATTTGTGCTAAAAACAATATATAAGAGAATGCTATGTACTCATGAGCAAGCAACAACAAGCGAATGTTGAAGGAGCAAGCCATCTAAAAAGGGAAAGAGAAAGGTTCATGCTTCTTCAAGTCGCCCAGTTTTTGCTAGTTACTGTAAACAAACTTTTTCGCTTCCCTTAAATTAAATTTTCAGGAAAACAGACATGATTAGAATATTAAACTAAATTGGAGCAATTCTTTATTTGACGATAGCTATTGATAACATATGTTTGCACACCTGATGCCCATAGACTCTTAAATGGCATTGTATAATTTACAGAGTGCAGATGATGATGTAGTTTGAATAACATTTTAATGCACTTGTATTCTTAATCTATTTTATGTTTTCATAAAATTTCGTACAGAAACAAAAATAGTTTCTGCAAATAATTTGAGAAAGAATTTGAGACAATTTTCTGCACTCTGTATTACAGGAGTAGTTTGCAACACACTTAAGTCACTGTGCATTTGCCTTTTCCTTTTCTTAATCTAGATTTTTTACGACAAGAAAAAGTTGGCTGTTTTATTATATTTTTGCCTTATTTTTCCACATTCAATTTTCACAACATTTTGGTCATAGCGAATATCTGCCGAGAGAATCACTACACAATTACCTGCTACTTCACCTCACAAAACACTTTGTTCGGCAGGTGTTGCGGATTCCAATAAAGAATCAACTTAGAAGCTGTTTACATGCATATGATCCCGGCTTACCTTGATTTAGTGAGGCGTCAAATGATTTGGAGGCTTTGAAAGGAGCCAAAACTTTAAGTGTAAAAATGACAAATGCTTGTTAAGCGCCACAAGTTATT